TTTGTTAGCAGCCATCACAGTGCCATAGTTGGGTTGTGATAATCGCCTTCCTATATTCTAATTAAGATGTTATACATTATTAAAGTTGTTAGATTATTAGAGCAATATGACTAAAATGCCGTTAATGGTAGTTGGACATTCTAATGAACAGAGAAAACACAACTGAACTGGTGAATCTGGCGCCAGCAATATGCACTTCAGAATATGACTGTTATGATTATGACATTAGACAAGTCTTAATTTTTCATGTAAAACATCAGATATAAATATTAATTTAAACCATATGGCATCAGTGATTCTCTTTGAGTTTCCTGCATTGCAAATAAACATCGGCAAAGTCTACTCTGTGATTTCTGTCAAAGTTCCCAATGATGGGGAATTTAACAGAACAATCATCACCGAATAATGTGCTACTGAGAGTTGTGTATTCAGTGTGAAAAGGTGTTTAACTGAGAGTGTATGCAGCATTTTTTTCACCTTTTTCCCTGCTGACAGATGCTCTCTGAATCTGCGCCGTGAGTGATTATGTTTGTCAGGACGGTGGTCTGTTTGCCGAGCACTGGAGAGTGAGATTGGGAAGTGAGAATAGCCACCCGAGATAGACAGCTGCAGCGCTGTGTTGATTGCCACTTCCTCTTATGTGATTTGAAATGGAGTTTCTCTGAGTAAAAAAAAAAAAAAAAAGCCCACGCCCACTGCATGTCTGGTGCTCATCCTGCTTCACTGCCAATCAAAGCTGTATCCACCTCGCATTACTATGCCAACACTTGAGCTGTTAAACAAGCCCTTTTGCAACAGAAACCAAGACTGAATCCTTCATCTTCACACAAAGATGCTACAGCTGCTCTCACTCATCCTCTGACAGAAGGGCCATCATAGGACAGAGAAGAACAGTGTTTTTGTACAGTGGTCCGGATAAAGAGTAGGACACAATGCTTGTGTGTGTGCATGCAATCAGACTCTGTTGCTCTTGCAATTGGAGTAACAAATTGTCTCCCTTGTAATCAGTCACTCTTTGCCTGCTGTTCTCACTGTTCTCATCAAACTTATTTTGAATGTTCTGTTGCCATGGTACCTTGAAAAATCTGCTGCAGAGATGCCTTTTTCCTTCCTTAGATAGGAAAATCCACTTACCTCACAGACAATACTACTTTGGAGCAATTTGACATACAATTAGTACATAATGTAAAAATAGATTGTTGGGGGGTGGACATATACTGAGAAAATAAAAAAAGTTATATGCCGCCGTGCACTAGCTGTATTTTTGTTGAACTCATTCTGTTTGAATGCATACACAAACACTCAGAAATATGGGAAATTGAAATTGCTCTCGGCAGGACTGTGGAGACTCCCATCAGGGGTGGCAGTTTAAATCATGGTCACCCACTGCATGCACACAGATCATAGGGTGTAATATCTATATACAGAACAAACATTATAGTTTTTAGCTAGAAATGCTCAAATGAACTTTCTAATTTTTCTCTCTTAATACTTTTCTCAGAAGTGCAGGTAGGATCACATAATACTATTATGCCTGAGTTTTTGACTACCTGTCTGATCCATCCAGAGTTCAATGAATCACATTTTAGAAGCACTGACTTCATATGTTTTGACTACAGATAAGCTAGTTCACAATTAATACCTGTATTAAAATAGTATTTTAGAGCTACTAGCCAATATTTTTATATTTACAATGGATCAAATGCTGTGTAATGTGAAGGGTGTTGCTTGCAGTGATGAACCCACTGGGAATTATCACCTGTAGGTTTAAATAAATAAATTTAAAAAATAACACTGTTGTGAGATTAGATTATTTAAAATCAACATGAATGTATCAGTTAATTAAATCCTGAAATTCACATGCCATGTAGTGCCAATCTCTGTCACAAATTGCAATCATAAAGTATTCATATTGATGTTAAACCAAAGTCAAATGTGGATTTTATATTTTTTCAGTCCAATATATACATTTACTTTCACAAAGTTTCAGTAAGGACTGATATGTATATTTATCTTCAAGGGCAGAAGAAACATCTGTTACAACCTTGCAGCTCCTCCAAAGTTCAAGTTCAGAATTCTAGCGGATCTTGAAGAACAACGGAGACAGCTTTAATATCAAAAACCCCGCTCTCTCAGCTTTCATCAGGGTTACATGATCATTTGCAGTCAGCGATAAAGACATTTAGCAATATCCAAAATCCTATAGCCTTGATTGTTCATATACAAGAAATACAGAATAATTTTCTAAGACTGAAGGCATGCAGAGATTCATTAACTGTAAAACAACAGATGTGATGGATGATTTCATGCCCCCGTGGAAAGTGAAACAGAGTGCTCTTTGAAATGTTGAATTACTGAGTGCAGGAGCTCCATTAAGAGAGAGGATGTCAAAAATCATGTAGAAAGCCACTTAAAAGAGGCCAGACATCCAGTGTCTGCTTTTTCTTTTAGTGCCATTGAGAAGGTCTCTTTTGGTCCAGGAGGAGGTGATTTAAATTTCATTAGAAAAAAAAGAGAGGGACCTTTTGGATCTTTTCTTTTTGAAAGTCTGAACCCAAGATGAATAAATGGGGGACCTCATTTTTAAACATATCCTCCAGCTGTTTAAATATGCTGCAGTGTCAGATCCTTAATTACACTTAGTGATATTATTTTTAATGTTTTTAAATACTGGCATTTAAGTGGCTATTTTAGATGTGCGTGAATTAACTATACATGTTGAAACACTGATGAAAGTTTTTGCAGCTAAAACATGTTGGTCTTTACTCTCAAAGCTTTGCCTTTTTGGTCCTAAAGAGCAGTAGGATTCTTTACATAACTTAAAGCATAAAGACAAACTCGGAGGACTGCTTGTGATTGAGCTGTATCTCACACTTCCCCAGATGGCTCATGTCTATCTTTAAGATTTTCCAAGGACACAATAAAGAGCTCTTAAAGCTGTTAAGTAGCACTTGTTTTATTTAACATAGAGTGGGCCAAGGCTGTAATACAGTACATATGAGACATGAAAGGTATGACTACCCACTATGAGTAACTGGTACGAGTGGAATAATGCGTGAGGTATTTGTCGTTTGTGACACGGGTACCATGAAAGTGACCCATCATTCATGCTGAGCCAACAGGCAATTTTGCTGTACATATTCAATATAATATATGTAATTTTATCATAACCCACTGGAAGAACACTCTTTTTTTAATTTTGCATTTTTTAATGCCTACAGAGATCAGAGGACAAACCTGCTTGACATAACCAAAGAAGCACAAACATATCTGTATGTCTGCTGAAACATTAAGTGTTCTGCACATGCTTGTTATTTCACCACGTTAAAAAAGCACTGCTGATACGACAATTAGAGACATTTAAAGTGGAACTAACATCTACTGTGCTTCCGCATTTGATGGTAAACTAGAGAAAGTACATTAAAAGGAACTTTTTTTCACCGTGAGTGAGAGTGCTAATGTACAGGATGAGCACTGTATACACTGAAATGATGTTGCTGTTCCTGAAGACAGCGTTTTATTGTCACTACACTAATTCTAATCCAAATTCAAAGTACATGCACACACACACACACATACTGTACACAAGAGCGAGAACATTCACTGACACATTGAACTGATGGAGCATCACATCATACGTCCTTTGGGCTCAGCCAGGAAGAAGAAATTTGGAATTGGACTGTCCTTAATGGAAATTGATCTGAGCAATTTGTTAAAACATCAATGGGCAACTGTGTTGTGCCAAAAATTGCTCTTCGGGGTGTGGACAGATACAAAGACTGTGTGCACCTGAACCTAAATTGCGCAACCTCAAAATGTAACATATTCCAGGTCATTAAGCATACCCTCTGAAGGTGGCTGGGTGGTGTCTACTGGATCTGAGTGCTGATCCTCATCTTATGTTTTGCACTTTAGGGAATGGCAAGTTTCCTTATTTGAGTGGATGAATCACACTGACCTAATCTGCTATTATGCTTTCAAAGACTGGTGAGCAGTAATTTCATCACTTTGGCGAGTGAAGACAGTTAAGACGGACAATCTCTCAATATAACACTAATCAATCACTTTTACAGTGCATTACTGTAAGAGGGAGCCTTGCCCCGTGGAGTGCAGCCTGATATAAATAGCAGATTGGCTTCCTTCATGGCTCTTTTTCAGTTTCTATCAGTATTCGCTGCATGCGTCCTATGCGCTCACCCACCTCATGCACACACATGCTCATTCAGATTGGGCTCAGAGTGTCAAATAATGAAAGTTAAACTCTACAGCACGTTCTGTGGCACAATGACATTTTGGAGGATCGGCATCTATTCAAAAGGCACATAACTTGTTTGGGGGTGCATTTGAATCTAAATTCACCTGGTTTCAACCCTTTTGAAGATAAATATGTGCTGAATATTTGTTGAGTTACAGTTAAGTAGGTTGGTTTTGACAGAAATATTGCCGCTTCAAACAGGAAGCGTGCTTTGCAAGTGCATGAGTCTCCCACAATGAGTTTGTGTCCCATCTCACTGATCCACGATCCACTTAAAATGCCCTGGAGGTGCTCCACCCATTATGAACTGCCCTTTAATTAAAACCAGCTACTGTTCTTGTACAAAGAGTTGCACGTTAGATAATTGTGACGCCTGTCATGTTGCAGCAGTGAAACAAAGATGACATGAAACTTACCACTACAGTAGTAAGAGGATGTGTTTATTGCAAAACGATGCATGAGAAAAAAAAATATTCCTTTAAAGATTTTCAATTCCTATAATTTTCCCTTTTAAGGACATAAAGTGTGCCTGTGGTACTCTATAAGGAGCAGTTACCTTGCCATTTATGGTACTACTTTTATTTCTTAACATTATTCTAGTCTTACATCAGGGAACTGTTACAATATGTGTGATATTTTTATTGTATCTTAAATTTTCTTATAGGATGAGGTACTTTTTAAAGCTAATTAATTCAGCTCATAGCAGACATTTAAATCAACTGTACATTAAAGGTGAATTCTCTGCATGTCTTAGGCCTCTAAAATCCACCATTTCATCCACAATACAATGCAAGTCTGTGCAATATGTGTGATGCTCAGGCTGTCAAATCAGTTGGATTTGACAGGATTTGTCATGTCCTCCATGCAGGCAGACAATAAACTTGGGGTTGAATATGCAAGAAAAAGCACTGAAAACATGTTATCCTCTTCTTAGAGGCACATTGAACATTATGATGAAGGATGGGCTGTCTCTGGCTTTCTTCTGCAACTCTGAGAGGATTACACATTGTTTTTTCTGGTGGGAGGATATTCATGTTTATTTTTCTATACACTGAATATTTCATTTCCATTGATCTGGGCCAAGAGGAGTGCGTCTTCTTCCACAGCAAAGTAAAGCATGAGACATGTGGGTGATCACGTTATTTGTGCTTCTGCTTATTATGTCGGGCATTGAAGATTAAAAAAAATAAAGTAATTAAAAGAGTAGGCTACAGCCTAAACAACATTATGCCTATGGTGTGCAGCACTGACCCAACAGCCCACCGTCACTTCCCTCCCCACCATTGCAGTATCTTGTGCTGGACCATTAGCTACCAGCCCATCCCGGAGTATCACAAACACCTCACAGCGCCTCCTCTCTACATGAACCCACCGTCATGTTGAAAAAACAATTTCTTCTTATCTTCACCACAGAGAAAGAATCCCTCGGTTGGCCGTGTATATTATTTAAATGCAGCTCAAAAGACATGCCATTGCTGCAGTGATACACTGCCCATGAAAGGTGTCAGTCGTTTCCTGAGATACCAAGAATTTGTCCACCGGCCACTTGGCTCTGCTCTGCTCCAGACATCATGGCGTGACAACATGTATTCATTTATATCGGGCTCTTATTACGCAGGTGGGCGCCCGCATGAGGAGTAGAGGCGCATTTTCAAAGGCTGCCTGTTCTGTAGGACACAGCAAGCTTCCCTGCCACATCACGCCTGGAGAAATCGACCGCATTGCTTTGTTTGAGGAGCAGGACAGACCAAGTCGTGTATGAAAAGTAATTGCTCGCATGGGTACGCATAAGGAGAAAGAAAAAAACACGGAATCAGTGCATGGGTGGGATTCCTTCATTGCGCTTCAGACAGGGGAACTTATGACAACAAATGGCTACAGTAATGGCAAACAACTGCCAGTAAAACAGGCGTGATACCTGCTCTGTAGTTCTGTTATTACTAGAAAACTGGTGTCGACGGTTCGACCTTCGTGATTTTTGACGGATCCGAAGCCTGAATTTTACACCAACCTTCAACCGGCAGAGGCTTTTTTCAAGAGCGCAATCTATCGCTTCAAAAAGAGCCCCGGATTCAGCTTTCTGTCCTGGCACTATCCGTACTGCAGTTTATAACAAGCGTGAGGTTTAATGGGCATTTAATTCCGCGTATTCCTGCGTTACAACCCCCTTACGCGGGGGACTTGATACGACCACGTACTAACGCTTTAACCCCTCTGAACGCGGTTCGGACGAAAGCCTCGGACTCTCCTGAGCTTTTGGATTTTTGGGATTTCAGCTTTACGTTTTCTGCCTTAACGCCTCTATCGGATCGTACAGGGATTTAAGGTGGGGTTTCATCCCGACGCAGGTAGAAGATATCCCACTGTCTCTTGTTGATGACACTTCAGCAGCAGATTGTCGCTCATCACGTCCGTTGGATTTTTTCAGCACAAGCCCTTAACAGCCCGATGAGAAGGTTTTACGCGTGAATATGGAATAAATGAACTACCGTCTGAGATTCGTTGTGAATTTATCCAATGATACGAGTGTGTGGACCGCGGGAATCATGTGCAATAGGATCAACCCTTCGGCATCTGCTTTATTAGTCTCACTTTTGGTAAGTCACTTTGTAGACTTTGCACTCTTGACACATGTGTGGATGAATCTGTGCCTCTGACGAGCTGAACAATGTCCAAAAATGTGATGTGCCGCATTGATTGTGCAAACTACTAAATGTAGAATTATAGGCCTGCTATTTATCTATCTATCTATCTATCTATCTATCTATCTATCTATCTATCTATCTTAAGCAGCAACATATCTATTTCTAGTATGTCTTCCTTGCTTAATGTGCAGTTTACTTTAAAGACAGCCATTCACAGTAGTCTGCTGGATAATATGATGTCTAGCAGATATGTGTTCAGGCTACTTGAGAAATTCAGCTCTCATGTGGTGGAGCAGTTATTGATAGTGTTACAGTACAGTCTGTTAGATAGGCCCAAACAGCCCTATCATACTGTAGCTGTATTGTGGCTCCAAACTGTGCAATGAAGATGGTTAAACAGTGACATATGAGTTGAATTCCCAGAGACTGGAGTCCGTGTGGAAATGGCCCAGCCCGGGCGTGTCTGCATCAGCACTATGCAGAGACTTTTCATAAATTAGCAGCAGCACTGAAATCCTCCCATTAGGGCAAATTGCACTGAATGCTGAGAGAGTGGACAGTTTTACTGTGGAGCCACAGAGCTTGAATGATTAGGAAAACGTGTCAGTGTCCCTTTGAGTTGAGTTTAAAGCCATGTAGCCAGATGATTATTTTGTTTTATGGTGAGTGGAGGCCTCAGCAGTGTGTGCGCACTGTGTATGCAAGTTAGAGGGCTGCACATCATCTTGGTTTTTGACAATCAGCTAAGCAGGTTTAGAGATGATAAAGGGATACAGAATCACTGATGCAGCATGATAATGATCTCATGGGCGCTGTGAGAGAATGCTGGCAATTACGTTTGCAGCTGGAATTTTTAGCCCCTCTCATCATTTTCTAGTTACTCAATAAGCTCTGCCTCCTCAGATTCTACTCAGCATGTTTAGGAAGTTTGTTACACTCAGGCTATTCAGATTTTGGCATGCAGGGCAGGAGAGGTCAGTGTCTGGTTTTTGGAAATATCTGTATATATATCATCACTCAGAGGATATCGGCAACAGCAGATGGGAGAAGTGAGGGTTCAGGATGCCTGCGTGGAGGTAGCGAGGTTGTAAATCTATTAGATTGAGGTGGGGTTAGATGTCAATATGCTTATACTAAAGTCAAGTGAACATCCCTCATATAGCTCTGCTTTATCCGCATAATACCTTCCAAGACATCCCCAGGGAAGATGTAGGCATTGGCCAGCCGTGTTGCTACATCAGGGCATGCAGTGAGTGTTACTGCAGCTTGCGGTGCTATTGGAAAAGAGTGACTACCAGCTGCATCTACTGTATACACTCTCCTTTACTCTTGGGGAGGCTTAAGACTGAATGTATGTCCCTACACTGTGCCACCTCTATACAACTGTCTACTGAAATTCCACAGTAAGATGAAATATGAAAGTTGTCACGAGGTATTGGCATTGTTCCATATTGTGTCAGATGCCTCTTATGTCTAAGAGCAATACAAAAATCGTATTGTATACGTCATTTAAGGCTTTTATGTAAAAAAAAAAAAAATCTCAAGCAGCTAGCTCAGGGGCTTGGCTCACTGTTATTGTGATGTGTTTCAGTAAAGGCTGAACCCTGTGTTTTTGAATGGCTGAGTGAATGGGGCAAATTGAAATTATGTTTGGTAAAAGCTGTGCATCATACAGGTTTTAACATAAGGAACTTGAAAAGACTTCTAAAAACAGAGGTTAATTAGGTTTTTCTTTGGAGGGTTGATACCCTTGAGCTTTATTGGATTTGTAATTTGAATTAACGGTGCGTGCAGCAGGGCTCTTACGTATTTAGATGTGCATTTTTTTATTAGATGTGTGTGCTGCAAGCGGTGATGATCAGGTCTTTGGCTTCTCAATGTGTTGCAGGATGTTACAGCAGAAGCTCAGAGCACTTGCTGTCATGTGTTTGCATAATGAAATCAGACAGGATGGTCATTATCATTATCATGCATTATTGCCAATACTTCCACGTTTAACAATGCTACTGCAGGCAGGAGACGACGGCAGAACAAATTCATATCTCAGCAGGTAATGCATAAAAAGAAAGTGACAATGGTTCCTGCTTTATAGGTTGCTATATACGGACCATGGGGTGAGATTAATGGGGTCTCTCTTCCTTGCCATTCTGTTGCGTTGTGTTACAACAGCTGCTCATGGTGCTGGTGTCATGTGTTGGCATTATGAAATCGGGACCAGTAGAGGGTTATCAGCCACTGCCGGAATGAGAGAATAACAACACGCACAAGCTATTGATTGGCAGTATAAAAGACTTCATAACAGAATGTATCAACCTGTTTTTGTTCTCTATCCAAGGCATATTAAAATAGCCATTTACAGTGAGTCATGCTCACAGACTGACATTTGCTAAATGTACACATTTGCAAAAGAGATTAACGTTTTTCAAGCTACTCTTAATAATTAAAAGACGGTATGCAGTAAGTGACTTTTACAGTAGCATGCATGCTTTTCAGTCAGTCCCATACACAATTATGTTCAATGTCACAGTACCACACAGTAATGTGTGCTGGCTTGGGGGTGAAGTGATAAGGGTCTGATTCCAGCAGGGAAAGTAGTTTGTTGAAGATGAGAAGGGTCAGTGGACTGCTCTTGTTATGTGAAGGAATTTGCATTTCCCCTTTTGAAACTCAGACTGCCTTTGTACTCATGCATTGTCTGGAAATAAACAACAAAGCATCAAAGGATAATATGATGCAAACAGTGACAGACTTTAAAGAAATTATGTCAGGGAATAAACAATAAGACAGTGACTTCTGGACTACCCAGTAAAGAAAGGAGAAAGTAAGTTCCAATTAAGTTGCTATCAGTCGACAGAATGAGATAGATGTTTCTCCCAAGGCAAGTCAAGTTATTTAGTGCTCAAGATGCATGAAAAAGTTAAGGAAGAGCATAATTACAACTAGCCAAAAAGATCAAAAGGAGTAGCCACCAAAGCACTGAAGCAATTAAACTAAAACTACCCCTGGAATTTATTTTTTAAGGTTAGAGAGTAACAAAGTGACACAAGAAATCAGTGGTGCACTCCAAGCACTGAATACTGGAGGAAACACAGGTAAATAACATACAGGCCTCAGGAGGCATACTACACTTTCCACTTTTAAACTTTCAAATTTCAAAAGAGCAAAAGGTAAGAGCAATAAAATATTACACTAAAAGGTTACTGCAGTGACATTTTGCAAGTCATGAACAGAGCTATTGATCACTGATGTGATATATTTGATACAGCAAGTACAGATTACCCTGTTCAAAGAATGTTTCTTCTTACACGTTACATAATGAATTAATTGACAGTGGTTGAGGATACAAAAAAGATGTTTTGTGCAGCATGTTGGGCATTATGTCGAATGTGTGAGAGAAAACCAGCGTAAAAGAAACCCATCCCAAAGACATGCACTGTTATCAGAATCAGAAAGTTTTATTGACTTTATGTGCATTGGAACCTTTATTTTCCCTGTTCGAAGGTGAGTGTGACTTTATTAGCTTTGTGTTAGACTTGTGACCTGTCCTGAGTATACCTTGCCTCTTGCCCATTGTGTGCTGGGAAGGGCTGCTGTCCCCTGCGACATCCATTTTCAACACAGGACAAGCAGTGTTGAAAATGGAGTAATGATCGAACTACACTCACTACAAATATGTTAGGCAAACAAACGTGCTTGTTTGCAAAATAATCAATGAATTGAGACAAAACAAACTGCAGTACAAGCAAAACAGCAGAAAACTCTCTAAAACCTTCCAAGAATAAAACTAAAGAGTGCATAAAACAGAGCACGCATGGGAGCACGTTCACACATGTGATGGTTTTGTATGTCTTGAGAACATTCGTATTCTGACTTGGTAACCTTTGAAATAATGATTGCTGCATGACTCCTTTTATCTCGGAGGCTTTTAGACTCTCACCTCTGAGCAGTACATGTGAATAAGGAAAACTGTCATTTATTGTCACGGAGCATGGATGTGTGCCCGAAGCATGAATGTTAACGATGGCTAAGTCAAAGTTGTTTGTTTCTGGAAATGACTGATAAAACAGGTTAGCGCGAAGAACACTGGTGCTTAAAGACTGACCTGCTTAGTACTAAATGATGAGTGTCACATGTAAAATGGAGCAATAGGGTTTGACCAGAATGAACAATGGGAGCTTGGTGTGGGGGGGCTATTGAAGGAAACAGTGGAGAGCAATCTTCAGAGACTAGTTGTCTGAAGGAGGGATACAGATTCACATAAAGATCTATATGGATGTTAGAGAGCTAATTCTTTCAGGAATACTGTGCAGGATGTGGTATGATATTGAACACCCAGCTGAGCTCAGTGGTAAGCAGCCATCAAAATCCAAATACCATATTCAACTGTCTTGACAGAAATATTCAATTGGGAAAAACATGTCACATACTGTAGATCATGTGGGATTTAAACTGCAGAGGAGCATCACAGTGTATATCCATGCAATCTATTGCATGGTACCAGCCAGTCGCCCATTTCCTCTGTTGACTCGGTTAAGAAAATTATTGGTGGCATCTGTCTACCTCAAGCACCACTGTTGTGCAGTCATCCTGCTACTGTGGCAGCTTTAAACTGTTGCTCCCAACACTGTGTCAGAGCCTTTACATGGCCATTTAAAAAAGCAATATGATATCTTTATGTAAACACAAAACAATGGCTGTGTGTAGCATAATAGCAAACTTCCAGTGATGTCTTAAACTGCAGCTTCTAGTCTTCTACTGTTTACCTGAAAGTGACATTGATTTAGATCATGCTTTCAGTTGCTGCATTTGGTCATATTGATCAATATCTTCTGCCAGAACAGCATTTCCCTTTGGCTCTCTTGAGAAAGCCAATTAAGAGAGCTACATGATCTCATACAGAATTTGAAATGCACACAAACACTATCTTCCCCACAGTCCCATTAAATAATGCA